ACTTCTTCCTGTACCACTGCTTGAAGAAGGTGTCTTCCAGAAACTGGCAGTAGGACTGGGAGTTGAGCTTGACTCCATCCTCAACCCGAAAAGGCCCCACAAGCTCATCTTTGATGATACCAGCCCAAACCAGTACTCCACCTCCACCTTGCTGGCGTCTGACTCGGACTGGAGCTCTCTGCCCTTTACCAATCCAGCCACGGGCCCATCCATCTGGCCCATCAAGACTCACTCTCATTTCATCAGTCCATAAAACCTTAGAAAAACCAGTCTTGAGATATTTCTTGGCCCAGTCTTGACGTTTCAGCTTGTGTGTCTTGTTCAGTGGTGGTCGTCTTTCAGCCTTTCTTACCTTGGCCATGTCTCTGAGTATTGCACACCTTGTGCTTTTGGGCACTCCAGTGATGTTGCAGCTCTGAAATATGGCCAAACTGGTGGCAAGTGACATCTTGGCAGCTGCACGCTTGACTTTTCTCAGTTCATGGGCAGTTATTTTGCGCCTTGGTTTTTCAGAATCAGAATCAGAAAGGGTTTTAGTGCCAAATGTTGAGCAGGTTTACAACATTAGGAAATTGCTGCGGTGCTTCAGTGCAAACATACTGTCATAAATTACGCCTAAATAGACATGAAAATAAAAATAAGAATAAGAATTAAAAGTGCTAAGTAGATAGATATATACATGAGTGCAGGTGGTGATCAGTGCCAAACATGGAATGATGCAGTGCACACAGCGTAGGGTCATGTGTTAGTGGTGGGAACAGTCATACGGTTATTGTTCATGTGTCCAACAGCAGAGGGGAAGAAACTGTTCTTATGGCGAGAGGTTCTGGTGCGAATGGACTGGAGCCTCCTGCCTGAGGGGAGCAGGTCAAACAGACTGTGTCCAGGGTGAGAAGGGTCAGCTGAGATCCGAGCTGCACGCCCCAGTGTCCTGGAGGTGTACAGGTCCTGCAGAGATGGGAGTCTGCAGCCAATCACCTTCTCAGCAGAGCGCACAACACGCTGCAGTCTCTGTTTGTCCCTGATAGTGGTGTCACGGCGACTGAGATAAGCCGTGTAAAAATAATAAATGAGGATCCAATTGCAGGCAGTCGTGAAGATGTGACGGTGGTTTATTGAATAAATGGCAAAGGAAAAAATGGCAAACGAAGACAAACTAAACTATACTGGAAAACAACTAGTGATGTGTCCTGTGTGTCGAAGCGTCGATACCCGTGTCGGGTAATCTCGGGGGCGTTTTTGTGAAGCGCGTATCGAGGCTTGCTTTGATTACGTATGCAGTGACGTTCGAGGCCTCGCGGCAGTCCGTACCACGTGACTTTTGTTCAGGGACTGGTTCACTGGTTCGCGCCAGATTCGAAATAAAATGGGCAGAAAAACAGATGATTCCCCATCACACTTCTGGAATTGGATTACGTACGTGCTACATAGTTACTTGTGCATTTCTTCTTCGATGGAACCAGCAAGGAAGAGATGTTTTTTTTTTTTAATTTTGTCTCTCCTAATAAAGTATGCACACAGTAATAAATATCACAAATGATAAACACCATAAATAAACAACACTACACATCCTATAATCTGATTTCTGTCTTTTAGCTTATTAAAAAGTGAAGCACCAAACACTAGTTTGTGTCATTATAAGCATGATTACACAGGTACTAGGAGCGGGTTTTGATTATCGATTAAAATCGATTCTAGCTTGGATAACGTGATATCGATTCATTAAAATCCTAAATCGATTTTTAATATAAATATTACTACATTTCAACCACCACCAAACAGCTAAAACAGTAAATGAGAGGAGGTACACCGATTCTGCACAAAGACGTAAACACAAGGCGCGGACCTGACGGATCAGAATCAGTGAGATGTCGCCTTTCTCACCAGACAGCACGGACACGGTCGGGGCTGAAAGCCGACAGTTCACTGATTCTGATCCGTCGGCGGGTCCGTGCTTCGTGTTTACGCCTTTTTTGCGCTGATTCCGAAGCTGCAGGTTTTATTTCTCTTCAAACAATATTGACCGAACCAGCAGAAAAAGGAGATCCAAACTACGCTTCACATAAACATCGCCATGAATTTCCTCTGACTTTTGCTGTTTTGCTTTCACCAGGATAAAATCACACTTCATGCACAGCTTTCTCTCTCTCTCTCTCTCTCTCTCACACACACACACACAGTATACTTCAAGAACAGTTTCCCGTCTAAAAATCTGTTTTCTGCATTATTCGCTTGTTTGTTACGCATAAGACCTCCGTTGTTTGTCAGCCGCTGTTCTTTCCCATTTAAATACTTCCGAAAAGAAAACCTAATTTCTGCCGTTCAATAGGCTACTAAAATAATTTAAACTTTTTAACATTATGCAAAATTGCAAAACGCTAAGGTGTGTCTCTAATAAAACCTCTATTTGCTCTGCTTCAATTCAGCAGCATCAGGTAATGTTCATTTGTTGATTAATGGTTTTCTTTCGGTTTTGATCTACTTTTTTATAAAATCGTTTTTCTGTTTTAGCCTCAGCTATGTTGACACAAAGGCATCTGCTGTGATGCTTACACATTAGATAAAGTCTCGAAAGTGTCAGCTTTCTTTTTATAGTTATACAAATATGCAAATGTACTGATCTATGATCTGAATTATACTATTGACTGACTGTCTGAGGCTGACAGTTACACAATCATACCAAAACGCTGTTCTGATACTTTCCACTTTCTCTTTTGTATCACACATACTGAGACAATATTCGGGATAAATAACCAAGAAAACAATTTATTTATTCAGTTTAGAGGTTTATACATCATTATAATCACAGAGCCCGCTTCACTTGAATTGTCCACTTGATGGCGCAGTAGAGCAAATGAATCATCACAATGCTTCGAACCATGAGTCGACCAATTGGGTGGAAAGCTTCAGTTCATCATGAGGCTTCATCTTACCATCACTAAAAACAACTAAACTACAGAGCACAGATCTGAATGAGAACGAGCAGAGAATGACGATGGACAGCAGGGAGAACACACGGGTGAGACATGGTGGATACACAGACGGACCAGCAACTACAATGACAGAGGACACAACTTAAACACAGTGGAATTACACACAGGTGGTGGACACAGCTGGGAATAATCAACAAGACGAGACAGAGGTAAAACTGAACACACTCACATGAGACGCAGACCTTCACAATAAAACAGGAACAAGAAATCACACTAAGATGCAGACTCGACATAGAGAGACAGACAGAAAATGACACATGCAACTAAACTAAACTTGCAAAAACATGACAACTCAAAATACTGGGTCAAACTGACCCAGAACCATGACTAGTGGCTCCAGCGTACCACACGGTGATGGAGGAGGTGAGGATGGACTCGATGATTGCAGTGTAGAATTGCATCATCGTCCGTGTTGGCAGGTTGAATTTCTTCAGCTGCCTCAGGAAGTACATCCTCTGCTGGGCTTTCTTAATGACGGAGGTGATGGTGGGCTCCCACTTCAGGTCCTGGGTGATGGTGGTACCCAGGAAGCGGAATGAGTCCACAGAGGTGATGGGGGTGTCAGTCAGGATGATGGGGGGGAGTGGGGCTGTGTGCTTCCTGAAGTCCACAATAATCTCCACTGTCTTCTGGGCATTCAGCACCAGGTTGTTGTGGCTGCACCAGGACACCAGACGTTCAACCTCCCTCCTGTAGGCAGACTCATCCCCGTCCGAGATGAGTCCAATAACGATGGTGTCATCTGCAAACTTGATTAGCTTGACAGACTGGTGGGTGGAGGTGCAGCAGTTGGTATACAGGGAGAAGAGCAGAGGAGAAAGAACACAGCCCTGAGGGGAGCCGGTGCTGATGGTCCGTGAGTCCGAGACATTCTTTCCCAGCCTCACATGCTGCTTCCTGTCCGTCAGGAAGTCAGTGATCCACCGGCAGATGGGATCAGGCACATTCATCTGGGAAAGCTTGCCTTGAAGATGGTCTGGAAGGATGGTGTTGAAGGCAGAGCTGAAGTCCACAAACAGGATCCTGGCGTAGGTTCCTGGGGAGTCCAGATGCTGCACGATGAAGTGAAGGGCCATGTTAATGGCGTCGTCTACAGAGCTGTTGGCTCTATATGCAAACTGCAGGGGGTCCAGGAGGGGGGCCGTGAGGGTCTTGAGATAGGAGAGAACCAGGCGCTCAAATGACTTCATGACCACAGATGTCAGAGCCACGGGTCTGTAGTCATTTAGTCCAGTGATCCTAGGTTTCTTGGGGACAGGGATTATGGTAGAGGACTTGAAGCAGGCAGGTACATGACATGCCGGGAGCTTTTCGAGCATTCAGACTCTTAAACTGCTTCTTCACATCTGCTTCATAAATATGAAGAGTTGTGGTGGGAGGAGGTGGTGTGAAATCCTCTTTTATGTGGGGTGAGGAGGGGGGTATTGTAGGTGAAGTGTTTGAAGGTGGTGATGGCTCTATGGAGGGGGAAGGGGTGGGGGAATGAGTGTCCAAAGTGTCTCTATTGTTGGGGCCGTTGGAGGTGTGAAGGCTGCCTGATGGCTCGTCAAAACGGCAGTAAAAGTCGTTAAGGGTGTTGGGCAAGAGCAAGTCATCAGTGGAGTGGGGGGTTTTAGGCTTGTAGTTGGTGATATTCCTAAAACCTTTCCACACAGAGGCTGAGTCATTCTCTGAGATCTGCTGCTGCATCTTCTCAGAGTGCTGATGTTTAGCAATGTCCACTTCTTTAGTGAACCTTTCCACACACTTCTTGCGACCCTGTTAACTATTTTGAATTAAACGCTTGATTGTTCGATGATCACGCTTCAGAAGCTTTGCAATTTTGAGACTGCTGCGTCCCTCTGCAAGATATCTCACTATTTTTGACTTTTCTGAGCCTGTCAAGTCCTTCTTTTGACCCATTTTGCCAAAGGAAAGGACGTTGCCTAATAATTATGCACACCTGATATCCGGTTGTTCAGTGATGACGCGACGAATCCGACGAATCCTACTTCCGGGTCTAAACGCTCCTGTGTTCAATATGACACAATGCTGTGTTCCTGGTTGTTTTAACCAATCTGGCTCAAAACAACAGTCTAATCTGTCATTTTACCGGTTTCCTTGTGAAAAGAGAGAGAAGAGGAAGTGGCTGAAGTTGATAAGGTATGTTACAACTCGTAAGTGAATGAATAAATTTGTAAGATAAGAGCTAGTGGGCTCTTACTTTAGTTAGCTAATATGGCTAGTGATGAACAATTAAAACCCGCTACTAAAAGACAAACTGGCTTTTACCAGTAATTGTACTTATATAGACAATGGATTTTATTGTGTTTTTTTTAATACAAAGACGTTGTTGCATTTTTGAAGTCATTTTTATTTCTCCAAGCAAAGATTGAGAGCTAAGGGTCACTTCGCTATATATATGAACCTTAGTTAGCTTTCGACGCTCAGAGGAATAAAAATTACGTCCAAAAAGCGATGTCTATGTAAGAAAATACATTACAATCCCCAGCCTATGTGCCAGTTAATTACCAAAATAAAGACCTAACCAACAAATAGCTAGCAAAGGTTGCCAGTACTTATCTTTCTGGTAAGCTTAAAAGCAAATTAGTACAACGATGTGTAAGAAAAGCATCTGGACTTCTTTAAGTTTTAAGTTTCTTGAAGCTTCTCTCATCTGGATGAAAGAAGCTTCTCTCTATTATTTATCTCTTTTTTTTTGTATTAATCATAACTAATGGAGGGCTAGCGTATGATCTGAAATTTCTCTCTGTCTTTTTAAACACTTCCACAGACGTGAAAACTTCACCCCAAACTGCAACTCAAGAGTCTGCAGTTGGCACTTCCCTCAAGGAAAAGCTGCGGGGCCAACAAGATTTGCATGGAACGACGGGAAGTCTTTTCAGTTCCCAGATGACCACAACCCTGTTAGAAAAAAGAAGAAAAAAGAGCAGGTCCCAGCTATTGGTGAAAATCAGAGTGAAATATCAGATGAGCCACATCATTCCAACAATGCAGCTACACAGACAGATACTGCAAGTTCCACAAGTTCTTCCCAAAGTCTTCTGGTGCTAGAGATTCAGAATGACATGCTAAGAATAGAGAATGAAAAACTTAAAAAACAAGTAGAGAAGCAGAAGCAGACTTTCTCATTCAGTCAAATATCTGACAATCCTGAAAGGGTCCAGTACTATACTGGATTGCCCGATGCTGCTTCTGTCCTGTTTTTAGAAGCGCTTCTTTCCAGATTTGATCTTAAATATCATTCTGATTGGACTGTCCAAATGATGCCCCTAATTGACCAGTTATTTCTAACCCTGATCAAGCTTAAACTTAATTTTGGTCATGAAGACCTTTCAATAAGGTTTAACTGCAGCAGAGGCACAGTAACTAATGTTTTTACAACAATTGTTAGTGCACTGTATGACATTTTGTATGTTGGCATGCTGGAAAACAACATTCCCTCGAGAGCCAAGAATCAAACATCGCTGCCAGATTGCTTCCAACCATTTCCTAACTGCAGGATTGTGCTTGACTGCACGGAAGTTTCTGTTTGTAACACAGAGAGACTTGACACACAAAGTCATTTGTACAGCCAGTACAAAGGACGGACCACACTAAAGGCTCTAATTGGTGTGGCTCCTAATGGTGTAATAACCTTTGTAAGCAACTTGTACGGTGGAAGTGCCTCAGATAAGGCCATAACAGCTGACTGTGGAGTACTGCAACATCTACAACCAGGTGACATGGTCATTGCAGATAAGGGCTTCACAATTCGGGACATCCTACCAGAAGGGGTCTCACTGAACATTCCGTCCTTCCTCACCAACGGACAATTCACACAGGAGGAAGTGAACAACAACAGGAAGATTTCCTGTGCAAGAATACATGTAGAGCGTTCCATTCAAAGACTGAAACTTTTCTCAATTTTGCATCACATCCCACATCAGTTAAAAAAATATATTAATAAGATCTTGAAAGCATGTGTGTGTCTTACAAATTTACAAACACCTATTCTCCGTGAAATTGAATAAATTATACCTGTGAGAGTTCAGAGGTAAAAGTACATTGTGTCATTTTCTAACTACTTGTGGACCAGAAAATACAACTGTTGAATAAGTTTACTTTTATTATTTATAACTCCTAAGTGTTCTGGATTGTTTTGTGTGTATACTCAGGATGTTACAACATAAAAACAACTTAGTTGCATAGTTTCAAATTGAGAATGGTCTCATTTGTGATTCGTATAATGTTTTACTCTGTTTTTATCAATGGCTTGTTACATTTTTCATTCCATTCCAGCTTCCTGATTACTGCCTAGTTTTCTTGCTATGCATTTTCAATTAAAATGAAGAATACCAGATACATGTGTTACTCTTTATTTTCAGGAACAGTTTGTCCAAAACATTTTATTTTTTCAAATCAAAAATTAATATAATTTAAGAATTTATCTGAATATATTTACAAAGTTACAATGACAAAAAATGTACAATTTCCAAATAGTTTTAAAATTAACTATAAACATTTGGACTGATAAATTACTCATGCTGATATGAATTCAAAGCTGCGATAAAATATGGGGTAAAAAAACTTCCCGGTAGAACGTTTCCAACGCTTCAATGTTAACAGCCCAAGTTTGTTCTCTATCCACATGCAAGATGAAAAAGTCACATGGAGTCCAAACAATAAAGTGACAGCTTTTCGCCCCTGTGAGATAGAGGTTGCCCTGGATCTGATGCCAGTAGTTGTGATTCTTTTTTAATACCAGGGAACCACTTGCCTCATCCAGCTGTAGGAAAAAGTCCTTACTTTCTGCAGCCTCCAATACAGTTTTGGCTCTGGCTGACCATGGGCATTTCACCTCAATGATGCACTCATTAGAGACAGTCCCATCTGGAGAACCACCAAGCAGGCCACTGTTAGATAAAAACAGTCCCCTCTCCTTGATAGCTGCACCAGTACAGTCAGTGTACAACTGCTTGGCCTTTGGCTCATGAAGGATCCCCCAATCACATGCCTTTGGGGATGAAAATACAACTTAGTCATAAAGGAATTCTTAGATGCACAGACCCTTTTTACTAACAACTTACTTTAGATCCTTCTGTCAGGTTGTACTGTCCAAGCAGAGTCTTAAATAAGGAAGGGGGGTATGAGCGCCGCTGGACTGCACTCAGGACCAAACCGAAGTTGCTGGCTGTGATTCTCTTCTTGCGATATGCTGACCTTTTATAAAGAAACACAAATTAAGAGACACAGTTAACTAAAATTTCCTACTTAACACTTAACAGAATAAATTTCAAAGCACTTTCTTACCACAATGCATTCTTCGTTTGCCCAACTGTTGCTTCCTCAATCTGTTTCTTCTCTTCGTCAGACACAGCCAGTGATGCCAAGAGATAACGAGCCTTGTCTTCTGCTTGGGGAAATCCCAGGTTCCTCAGCACTTCATCAAATGTCTTGGCTGGTTTAGCCTAGATTTAAAGCAAAAGGATTTTAAAGGTTTTAATGGAACCAAGAAATTTTGACCACAGAATAGACAAAGTCAGGTACAGAGTATATAAAATACATGTAAAAATAAAGTGGGGACAGTGGAAGCAAACAGTCTGCTGTATGTAGTTTACAAGAGTTTACATACATGTACAATTTATACCACATGTTAAAGTAAATATCAAAGTACCTGAGAGCATTCAGGACTCAAAATCCAACCCATCCCAGTAAAACGTTGCAATTTCGATAGGGATGCCACTGCCCATTCCTTGTCCTCCTGGGAGACAGGTCTTTCGATTCCAGCTGAAAAAAAACTTTTAGTAATCTGTATAAATAATAATTTTAGCATATAAAACATAATGCTTTTTAAAAAGTTAAGAAAATAATTATTATAATTAATTCAAAGGACAAATTTTAAATAAATAACTGACCTTGTGTTGTTGAGGGTGTCATCACAGACACTCTCTTGGCAGTAATTTCTTCTGCTTTGCATGATTTTACCCTCTTCCACACACATTCCACGTCAGTGCGAGACACATTCTTCTCCACCCAAATCAACAATGCCGCCATATGATGGCACTTATCATTGCCAATCGGGCACTCACAGGAGCTGAACCTGACTGACTGACCCTCAACATGCACCTACATTGAAAGAAAGTTAATGCTTACCCTAAACATTCTAACAAACACTTGCAGCGCTGCTCTGTGTACTGGTACTAGGTTAACTAGGCTAATATAACTGGTACTAGGCTAACATTACTAACTCTCCAAAACCTCCATGTTATGTAGATTTTCATCTTCGTTTACTTCCACTGTTATAGCATTGCTGTACGTGTGTGTGCTTTATGAAATACATCAGAATACAGAATATCTCATGTTTAATCGTCGGCTAGCTAGCTTACTCCTAGCTCACCTCAACATTGTAAATCTTCTTTTTCATGGATGCCTGGACACTTCCCTTTATAATTCCGCCTGGGAGAACGGTTACACTGACCACTTTACTAGAGTTGAAGGAATTAAGACCCTTTTTAACCCTAATTGGTACTTCGCTAAAGAAGGAGGTAATCGTGAACAAAGTCACTGGCTCCGCCATCGTTGTTTCTTGAGGAGCACTTAGACCCGGAAATACCTGCAACGTCATCCGTGACGTCTGACTGAACAACCGGATTGGGTGTTGATGTCATTAGACCACACCCCTTCTCATTACAGAGATTCACATCACCTAATATGCTTAATTGGTAGTAGGCTTTCGAGCCTATACAGCTTGGACTAAGACAACATGCATGAAGAGGATGATGTGGACAAAATACTCATTTGCCTAATAATTCTGCACTCCCTGTATTTTGTTTAGTTTGAAGTATGAAGGCTGGTGAAATTGTACTGAGTACTGTCAATGAAAAGTAAACTAAAAAAATCAATGGTTTTTTGAGATGTGAGAACTTGTTGAGACTGAAAGTTTCCATTACTATTAAGTAGTATAAACTTTCATAATTGTCTTAGATGCTCAACATTGACTTGGCATTGGTCCACCTACACTGTTATATAACTCCATTCTCTATGCAAATATAATTTTTTTCTGTTTTGTACATATATAATGTATACATAGAATACAAAAAATGTTTAATTGCACTACCAGTAATTATTTCAAGTTTGATGTCCCCACAAATAATAAGCATTTTAGATTATGTACACATATTTTCAAATTAAAATCAACATTGAATGTGGCTTTGTCCCATTACCATTGACAACATTGTTTTGCGTATTTTAACTACATTGATTATTAGAGGGTTAAGTCAATGCTCTGAGCTCTAACAGCACTTAAACCTGTATTTTTGGAATATGTCATTTCTGGCTTTAGAAGATTACTAACAAATACTGGCCGTCACAGGACAAAGGGAATTAAGCTGTTTCTGTAGAGAGATACTTCTTGTACTATCTATGGAGAAGATGGCGCCGGGTGTCATGGCACGCCGTCTCTCGGTTCTGCAATATTTATGTTTTGTGTTCTTAGTGGTGTCTCTGCTAGTTTTAAAAACCCACTCTTTGTTGGTGTATGAGCGACAGACGCTGCTTAATATCCGTGACTCACTGCTGAAGTTTCCCAGCGTTAGCGAGCGATGTGGAAGACTCCCGCCGCCTCTGGCGTCGGTACCGGGTACCGGGAACTGCATCGCCGTGATCCCCCCTGGAATCCTTCGAAACGGAAGCGCTGGAGAAGTGGACGAATGCGCGGAACACGCTCTAGAAAGCGTGTTCGGGTTAGAACTCGGATGCGGCGGGTTCTTACCATCTGTGACCCTGGCTGTTTAGGACTTTATTTTGGCCTCAAACAGCGCTGCCTTCTTCCTGTTTACCCTATGTCATCGGAGCACGCTCACCCAAGGCTGCTTTATTGGTCGCCATGCCGACGGGATATGAGGGGAGGTGGAGCAAATATAAACAACCTACAATTACTGCCTGCTGTGGATGGACAGAGAGTTAAATTAGCTCTCTTAAATGCAAGATCTGTATCAAATAAAACTCATGTTCTTCGGGACTTTTTTGATACTCACAAGCTGGACATCATGTTCCTAACTGAGACATGGCTGCGTGTTGGTGAAGTGGCACCCTTGCTGGAACTTTGCCCCTCCGATGCCAGTTTTTTCAGCTCCCCCAGGTTGTCTAGGAGGGGAGGCGGGGTAGCCTCTATCATCAAAGACGGTTTTAAATGCAAACAGATACAAAGTCCTGGTGTTTTTACCTCATTTGAGTCCCAACTCCTGACTTTAAGCTGTCCTGTGGTTCTAATTATAGTCATCTATCGTCCACCTAAATATAATGACTTGTTTATTTCGGAATTTTCAGACTTCTTGACATGTTTTATCGCTCACTACGAAAGGATTCTTATAGTGGGGGACTTTAATATTCATCTGTGTTGTGAGGATAAACCCCTGGTCAAAGATTTCTTAAATGTAATTGATTCCTTAAACTTCACACAATTTGTGTCTGGGCCAACACGTAAGGGCCACACCCTAGACCTTGTCTTGGGTTACCGACTGAATGTATCAATGACTGAAAATTGTGTTTTACCTATCTTAGACCACTCAGCAATTTTATTTGATATTTTAATCCCTAAATCTCCAGCTTCTGCGAGGGGAAGATTGCCCCTCAGATCATCTCGTTATATTAGCCCCGAAGCATTGCTTGGAGTTAAATTACATCTACCTGATGTGTTGGACCCTATTTATACCCAGGAGTTATGTGTAGACACCTTGACTGTGAACCTTAATAATACACTTCTTGAACTACTGGACTCTGTTGCTCCCGTAAAGAAGTCGAAATGTCAAAAAAAGGAACCCTATGCCTTGGCTAAATGAGGAACTCTTGAACTTGAGAAGAAATTGTAGAAAAGCAGAGCGTCACTGGAGATCTTCCAGACTAGAAGTATTTCTCCAGGCTTGGAAGGACTCACTGTCTTCTTTTCAATCAGCGATGTCGGCAGCGAAAGCTAATTATTTCTCAAATCTTATCATGAGTCATAAACATAACTCAAAACTCCTTTTCAACACAGTGTCCCAACTTACAGAGAGTAAGTCAACTCTCTGCTGTTCTAATTTGACAGCTCATGACTTACTTATGTTTTTCAGAGACAGGGCTGAAACACTTAGGAATCAGATTACTCCCTCCTCAAGCTTTTCATTAGACTACTCTGCTGCTTTGCCTGTTGGTGCTGATAAACTATTTTCTGACTTCGAGGTTATTTCCCTGTATGGATTAACTAAGGTTGTAAAAGCAGCTCGATGTACAACCTGTTCTTTGGATCCTCTACCAGCCTGGGCTACAAAGGAACTGTGG